AGTTAACATGGTCTGTTTCTATTGGGAATTAACATGGGCTGTTTCTATTGGGACTTAACATGGGCTGTTTCTGTTAAGAATTAACATGGGCTGTTTCTATTGGGAATTAACGTGGGCTGTTTCTATTGGGAATTAACATGGTCTGTTTCTATTGGGAATTAACATGGGCTGTTTCTATTGGGAATTAACATGGGCTGTTTCTATTGGGAATTAAAATGGGCTGTTTCTGTTGGGAATGAACATGGGCTGTTTCTATTGGGAATTAACATGGTCTGTTTCTGTTGGGAATTAACATGAGATGTTTCTATTGGGAATTAACATGGGCTGTTTCTGTTGGGTAAATTAACATTGGATGTTTCTTTTCAGCATTAGAAATGTTTGACTTGAGAAATTCGCTGACTGTCTCCCTCCCCAGTTTAAAGCCCTGTGGTCTCTAGTGTTGACATTTGCATTCATCTTTACAACACTCAGTAATTTTTGGAAGACATTTTGTGTTTTGAGTTGGATTTAAAATGTGTCTAAAGTTCAATGCACCATCTCTAGAAACACCGAAAGTGCAGCATAGAACTATTTATAGTAGTTGCCTAGAACAACATAAATAAATCAACAATTAGCGATGTTAAATACTTTTCTATAACATTTTTAGAAAAAAAAACATATTTTCGCGTTATCCACTATAACAAATGTTATAAGTCATAACCCTTCATCTCAAGTGACATACTAAAATTCAATGCACCTAACAGCAAGATTGAATAGATATCGTGCAACAGTTATTTGACTGGCAATGTGCAGCCTCGTCTGTCCTGCAACTGCTCAGTGTTAACCCAGCCAATCTCAACAGTTTTTTTTTTAAAATAGTGATTCTCAACATGTTAACGTGGCCCAAGACCCCACTACTATGATTAGATCTAATTCAAGTGAATATTTTAAAAATAGATATTTCCCAAAATAGTACGGAAAATGAAATTTACACACAAGTTTATACCCATTTTTATGATGCACTTTTATCTCAAGCTTCTTTTGAGTCCAGTCGAGCAGGCGGTGAGAAGCCCTGACATTGATCAGACCGAGTTATTTCCCCATAACAGCAATTTTTCCAGCCCACTTCTGGTGTAGAACTCTCCAATCTCATTAATGACACACAACAGTTTTCTGACATCCGTTTTCTTTCCTCATTTTCGTATTTTCTCGAGCAGCCCCACAGCCCGCGGGGCATGGGAAGGGATCTATTTACAAGATCGTACGATAACCACGGGGGACACAATTTCTGGAACATTCTGGTAACGGGCGGTAGCGTTACAAAACATAATGATGGGGAAACTTAACTCGAAGCGTGGTGTGATGACGGACAGAAGAAGCCTGCAGGGCTCTGGGGGGAGATGAATTTCTATATGGGTCCTTGAGGTAGTGCGATGGCTAAACTGGGTATGCAACAGCCATTTTCACCCTCCCCCCTTCCAACCCCACCCGAGTCCAATTCAGACAGAATTTAAAAAAAAAAATTTTTTTACTATTCCTTTTTTTTTGAAGCACGTGTATCGTCGGTGACCTTTTGTGGGGTCACACTGCACCCGGGTACGAAGTGGTGCACCCGGGTACGAATTGGTGCACCCGGGTACGAAATGGTGCACCCGGGTACGAAATGGTGCAGCCGGCAAATTCCGGATACGCCACTGGAGTATTCTTTCTGGTAAATTGTGGCTGCCTCCGGTGTTGGGAAATGACACCATTGTGTAACGTGAAATGGAGAGTGTAGAGAAGAGAGGAAGAATTGGAAGTGTAGAGAGAGAGAGAGAGAGAGAGAGAGAGAGAGAGAGAGAGAGAAAGAGAGAGAGAGAGAGAGAGAGAGTAGTTATATAGAGAAGCGCACAGAATGGAACGAAACTGGACAAAGGGAAAGGGTGCCGGGGTGGACTGGGCCGCTGGGACACCGGGAAGATTCCCGATGGGCCGCTAGGACCGGTGATATAATAAAAATAAAAGTCTTGAAGATAGGGCCGCTTTTTGTTGTTTTTTTCCCGGGCCGCTTGAACTCCCCAGTCCACCCCTGAAAGGGTGAGAGTGTTAGAGTAAGAGAGAGTAGAGTAAGAGAGAGGAGAATAGAGACAAAGGGATGGATTATTGGAAGCTGTTTATTTTTTTATGTATTTATTTTGTTTTGTTTATTTTCTTTTTTTTTTTTGGTTGTTGTTTTTGTTGTTTTGTTGGGTTTTTTTTGTTTTTTTTTTTGCTGTTGAAGAGAAATTTAGGGGCTAGAATTTTTTTTTCGAATTTTAAAAATCTGGTAAAACTGATGCATTTCCGAGACACCAACGTCAGGCCATTAATCATGACGTCATAGCAAAACCTGCCCCCCCCCCCCCCCCCC